TCTTTAAAAAAAAAACATAAAAAATAAAATATTAACCCCAAAATTAGGTAGGTAGACGTTAAAAGTGAATAAAGTTACATAAAAAAATAAAAATAAGCCGTAAGGAAACTATAAAAAAATAAAATAAGAGTGCTATTTTCTATTTTTAAATTCACATTCAATATTATAATTATTGACAACGTATGTCTCGTAATCCTGAACAGTTTAATCGGGTGACACGTTTTTTCTTTTCTAAAATAATTTTTAAACATTATTGTTTACATAATATACAGGGTGCGCCAGAACTCGCGCCCCAGAGAAAATTTTCAAGTAAGGTAAGATACCAGGAACATAAAAAAAATGTTTAAAAAATTCTATCTGACAAAAAATTTTGACATTAATTTCTGACATTTGACATTTTTTTATATCTATTTAATGGTACTGATGATCTTGTATATGTTTTTTTACAAGAATTTAGTAAAGGTACAAAAATTTTGCTAATAAAATCCACAAATAACATTGAACAGAGTTACAATTTAGGATACAGCTTCCCTGTTTCCTCTTTTAATAGCCTATAGCAAAAAAACTTGGAAAATTATTTTTTCAACAGAAATAAATAGAGTCAAAGTGCAAACTTTAAACCCTCATAACTTCGAAATTTTTATAGATAAAATTTTTTTAACATTTTTTCCATGTTTCTGGTATCTTACCTTATATGGCATTTTTCTCTGGGACGCGAGTTCTGGCGCAGCCTGTATACAAAATTATAAAGTTTTAAAATTTTGAATTTTATTACAGAATTGTAAATGAAACAATAATTAGACTTTTATTATGAAGAATCATCATATTTGTCATGAATTAATGGTAAAATAGTAGGTAGGTAGACGTTAAAAGTGAATAAAGTTACATAAAAATAATGCAAACTTCATAAAAAAATGAAATAAAGCGATATTTTTCAAATTCTCATTCAATCACTTGACAACGTATAACTCGGTATTCTGAACAGTTTTAAGCGTGTGGAACTTAATGGTTTACAGATTAATAATTTATTTATTGTTATTTTACTTTTGTTGAAAAAAAGTTGCAATAAATAATAAAAATGTACCATACAGAAATATTAAATAAAAATAAAAAATATATGTGCTTTTTTTTAAACAATAGATGTATTGCATGCCCAATGTGGGTTCAATAATCCTTATTTCTTAAAAAAATAATTTTTTTTTTTTTTCAATATTGTAATTACATATTTCCAACGTATATCTCGAAATTCTGAACAGTTTTAAGCGTGTGAATCTTAAAATCTTTTTTATTGTTGCAAAAGAAGTTAAAAAAAATAATGTAAAAATGTGCTATACAAAAATATTAAAGAAAAACAAAAAATGAAACGTGTTTTTTAAAAGCAATAGATGTAGTACATTTCCCCTATGGGTTACGATAACCCTTATTAAAAAAAAAAAACATCAATATTAACCAAACAAAATGTTACCGGTCTCAGTGCTACAAAATTTTCAAATGTAACCCTATTTACATCCAAGATAACGTGATTGACAACGTATATTATTTAACCTTGAAACTTTTTTCTCACAATAGTTTAATTAAAAAAAAATAGAACGTGCAATAAACAGTATAGTTTTTGATGTCTTATGTAAAAATTATAATTTAATACATCAACATTACCAACCTAAAATGTTATCTCAACTGAAAGTTTTAAAATAATTCAAGCCAAAAACATCCACTTACACAAAAACACGAATTTATCATTTTCACCAATTTTTTACTTCTACTACTTATCCCCAAATCCACATACCTGGCGTCGAGGAATCCTGAGGTTTATTGATAATTTCCGACGTCTGCCAATTGGACGACTCCCCAATTTTCGTGTCCAACATCGTTGACAAATCTAAATTATTTTCCTCAAATTTCTGAGAGGTGTTACTTTCCGAATCATCAACAGGCTCTTCTTTAGGCTTAACTAACGCTTCGGGAAACTCCTGTTCTTCCTGCCGGGCAGTGTTTTCCTCGATATGGGGCTTTTTAGCAGGCGGGGGATGGGGCGATCTGGGTTTGGGGCTGTCAATAGGTCTCAAGGGTTGCATGGGTTTTATCACTTTTTTGACCGGTCTTGGTCGTTTCATAATTTGTCTTTGGTCAGAGAAGTTGTAAGGGATTCGACTGGGGCCACTGTAGCCATTGGATTCCTGAAAAAACGATTTTTTACTACTTAAAGAAAGTGACAAAAACATTACTTACCGAAGATGAGGATGAGGACGAGCTATTGTCGGTCAAACCCTTAACTTTTAGCATTTCTGCCACCCTCATGAACATGGGGATTTCCTCTTGACTCACACTGACTTCGCCTTGGTACATAAATTGGAGTAAATTACACAAAGCGTTGTAATTCACATCAGGGAGAATGACTATGGGGTGTTTGCTAGGGTTGGCCCTGAACAACTCCTTGAAAAATGGACTACACACCGATAGGACAGTTTTGTGGGCTTTCATGAAGCGCCCCCCTGCTGCTAAAGTCACGTCCACCAAGTCTTCATCTTTGAGAAGGGAGTTGAAACCCGAACTTAAATTACTGTGGAAGTTGTTCCAACACAAAGAGAACTGCTCGCCTTCCATTTTTGACCGGCTATTCCTAAAAAAAGATTACAAAAAGTTGAGCACAAAAAAATTAATTTCACAATAGAGATAAGTTAATACCTGTTGTATTATCATAAGTGTGGTCGATTGTAATTAATTTTACGCTTATTGGGACTCACAAGAGTGTTAATTTCAACTTATTTGCAATTTAAACTGTTTTTTTCAAGCATCATACAAGCATGAAAATGGAGGACAAGACAAGTGTGACGTCATTTTTCTTATGTCAACGTCTTACATCGAATTTTGGGGTACCCAAACAAACCACAAAATAATCACTTGCAGGCAAAAATACAATCAAAAAAGACTCAGTCACACTTGAGTTAACTACAAACAATGATATTCTTTACCTAAGTATTTTTTATTAATAAAAAAATTCGAGGTAAGGAGTTGACAATTGACATTTGACAGTTTGACAGCACGCCGGTAATTTTGACAGAACAAAACATCGAGTAAGTATTTTTCGGTTATTGCGCCCCTTTTTGCGATAATTGGCCCAATTGGCGCCCCTCTTTGACTAGAATTTGTTTGCAGTTGCAAATAAATCAAAGCCCCCGTGTGCAGTGCTAGTGTGACAATATGTCCGAGGAGGACCCCGAAATGTAAGTTTTTTAGTTTTGGGGCCCTAATAACTTGCAATTGCAGTGCCGGACTGGTCAAATGCACCGTCATTTCGTGCCCCAACTATTTCCACAAGGTCTTGTCCCAGGCCGACGAGCACATTTTCTTCGATTTTCCCTCCGACGAGGACGTTTGTGCAACTTGGAAGGAAAAATGCGGCATTTCCGCCTATCACGACGTCTCAAATTCAAAAATATGTTCCACACATTTCAGACAAACTGATTACACAGATAACACCAAGTCTGTCCTCAAACCAGAGGCAATTCCGCGCGAAAATCTAGGCTGGATGTTTGGTATGCCTGAAGTGAAGCTCACAAAAACCCCCAAATTCGAGTTAATTAAGGAGGCTGTCGATACAAACGAACGACTGGTACAGCGATTTGAGGAGTTGATGGACGAAATGAAGCTTTTGACGGAAAAAGTCGATTTGTACAAGAAAAAAAACGAAAATTCTGATAAAGAAATCTTTAGACTGAGAAGACTGATTGCGAAGTATCCATTCAAAAAGAAAAATGGGAAAATTGAGACCAATTTAATTTGCAAGGTTTTCTCCCAAGCACAGATTAATATGCTATTAGGGAAGAAAAAAGTTGTGTGGAGTTACGATGACATGGCGATGGCGTTCACACTGAGACACATTGGAAACAGAGAGTGTTATTTATATTTAAAAGACACTCTAAATATGCCTCTCCCGTCTTTATCGGCAGTGCAGAGATGGGTGGCTTCAAACAAATCGTAGTAATTTTGTATCATTTTGTAATAAAAATCTTGAAAAGAAAGTGTTTTTATTGGGGAATCCCTTGATTAGCTACAAAATTACAGGTTTCTGTAACCGCCATCTTTGTTTCAGAAAAAATGTCTTGCATTGTTTGGGGATGTTCCAACAGCAACATCGCAACAGCGGACCCGTCAGTCCACTATTATGTTTTTCCCAAACACCCTGTAATAGCCCAACAATGGATACAAGCCTGTGGGTGGCCTCCAGACCAGATCGATGCCAACATAGGTAAAAAAATCCCCAAGTCAGTCAAGTCACCATTTCTTACACTTTTTTTAGCTCAAGTTTGTTCACTGCATTTCGACGAAGACAGTTACACGACCGAAGTGAAAATTATCGATTACATCACTTGTTACACAAAAGTATTGAAATTTGACGCAGTCCCTACACTCTTCTTACCAACACAAACCGAAATTATTATTAAAGATCCCAAAGAGGAGCTTCAAGAAATGATAATTTTCACAGTGCCTGCAGAACAAGAAACCGAGTTGCAAGTACAAAATGTGGAAAAGTTGCCACAAGAAGTCAATAAGGAAAAATATAAACATATAGTTACAAAAGAACAGTTGGCAACACTTGAAAATTGCAATAAAACAATACGGGAGAAGATGGCAAGACTGGAAAATAGTATAAAACATCTCAGAAACGTTTTAAATAATCAAATCGAAACGTACAAATCGAAAGACTTGGAATTGTCGAATTTGCATCACGAATATTTGAAAGCTAAACGTTCGTATTTGACAATTCATGAACAAAAAGTGTTACTCTCGAAAGTGTTTTCCGAATCACAAATTAAGATTTTATCAGGGAAGAAAAAAATTTATTGGAGTGATGACGATATGGCTGTTGGTTACACAATCAGGCATTTAAGTAACAGAAGGTGTTACATGTATTTGACGAAAAAGTTAAATTTTCCCCTACCGGCAGTATCAAGTATTAAAAGATGGATGACTCTGAAAAATGGGAGTCGTAAGAAGAGTCCCACAACCACTGGAAGTCCCAAAAAGGACGAGGAAAGCGAATAAAACTGGTGTCATTTTTTACAAGGTTAGTATCGGTGTCAATAAAACACGAAATAAAAAAAATAACATTTAATTGCTCCTCACACCCTTGTCCGCTTTAGCCAAAGTAACGTAATTTTCCAATTGTTTCACTCTCAGCCTACTCCAAACTACATAATTGCTCAACCCGATGATATTAGCCGCGTTTAAGGCCGCCGCTTCGGGATACAGGACCGTACTACACCCTAATCCTGAGGGCACATTTAAACTCGACCAAACATCCCTATCAACATTGTCAGATTTAAGTGGTGGACAGTTAATGACCGGGAATGGGGAATTCCCCGAAACCACTGGTCCCAAACCGTTCGAGCGTCCCGCCACTGCAACGAAAACAACTTTCAAAGGAAGAGATTCATAATATCGGACAATTTTGATCGTTTCATCTGTGCCTTTGTGTGCCGAAGTGACTCGTAGTTCGGTATTAAGGCCGAGTTTCTCGCAGTGTTTTTGGATGGTTTTGCAATGGTCGGCGTCGGAGGGACTACCCATGAGGATGACGATAAGGTGGTCGTTAGGTGGGGCAAGATGGTCCAGTTGGTCAACGATCCATTCAAAGTTGCGTTTGACAGTGTCGAGATCAGAGGAGGTGACGGTGGTAAGGTTACGGTAGACTTGTTTGTCCACCATGAGGCGCTTGTCTCCGGAGGGCCAAAGACGCCAGCTGTCGGAGTCGATCACGTCGGCCACGAGAATCTCACCTTTAAGCAAATTAAAATAAAGAAATAAAGCAGGATTTTATTTAAATTTCCCGCCTCGACGCAGCGCCCTCTATTATCGCTGAAATTTTATTTTTTGTATATTCAAAGCTTAGTTTTGAGGATAATTGGCATTTTTCTTATTATTTCATTGATTATGTTTCAGCTAATTAAAAAAAAAACAAAATGTAATTTAAATTTCTCGCCTCGATGCAGCCAGCCATTTATTTATTTATTTATTTTGTGTTCATGTAGAGACACTTTTCATGCTTAGTTTTGAGAAATTGTCATTTTTTTTAATTATTTCATTGTTTATGTTTTAAAAAATCAGCTAATCTAAAAAAAAAATTATTTTAAATTTCCCTCCTCGACACATACGCCCTCTACTATCAAACTGGCTGAAATTTCATTTTTTAAACATGTAGGGACACTCTTCAGGTGTAGTTTTGAGGAAAATTTGATTTTGTTTATTATTTCATTGATTATGTCTTAAGAGGTCGGGTCAAATCCAATTTCATCATGTTTTTCCGTATGTAAGAAAAACAATTGCAAAACTTTGACACAAATATGTTTTTTTAAGCTACGATACTCTGATTTCACATAAATTATCTTTGATTCTTTCTTAAACAAAACAACTTTTCTAGAAAAATGCCTACATGTGATAACCTTTTGAACTTTTGTCATATGGTAGCATCGATTAGCATTTTTGATAGATAACAAGAGTTTTACCTGTTTTGTCGACCCCAAATTCTATTTTCATGTCGATAAGGGCGCAGTTTCGGGTCGCCCAAACTTTTTCCAAAATTTCAAAGACCAGAATGGATGTTCTTGTCATAATATCGACTTCTGTGGGTCCTGTAAAACATTTTTTCCTAGAATATTCCTCTCGAAAATTATTGACAAACAACTCAAAGGAAATTTCCTTTGAACTCATAACAAATAACAATTCTATCGACCTCCACATTTAATTTTAGACTTTGATAAGAAATTACTTACCAATCTCCAAGCCATTGACCTTGAACTTCGCCGAGATAATCTGCTCAGTGGACCATTGGGGGTCGTGGTTTGCGTCATCCTTGAAGAAAGTCTCATTTTTGGGGGGATAAAACCTGTAGCCTTCGGGAACCCCCGGATTCCGCTTCAAAAACGACCCAGTCGCCAGTCTCCTCGTCACCCACTCAATGGGGATCATCTCGCATTTCTTCGAAATGAAAGCCACATCGGAGGCGGCCTTCACAAACGACGTTTTCACCCCCACGGAATTCAAAATTTCGAACACTTTCCCATTTGTTTTATTTGAAATTGCCGCCTTTCCCACCAGGTCGTGCGCTTTGACACCATCGCCGGCCGTAATTCGGTCCTTATTCAACAAAAGACACAAATCGGGGGACCCCGGCAACTCATACACCTGCTTAGTCTTGCCTTCGATGATGAGGGACCCCAATTTGTAGTCACCAACTGCAAAAAAACACAAATCTACAATGAAAACACCGGTTTTTTGGACACCCCTGAAATTAACCTGTCATTCACGTGGCGATTGTTTTGGTTATTTTTTACAACAAAAAAACCGCAAACTCACCTTGTTTGACCATCGCCATGACAATTAAAATACACGAAAACTGTGATTCTTGCGGAAAAACTGCGAGAGAACGAAACGCGATCGTAGTTTGTTTTTATAAATTATAGGGGATTTGTGCGCATGCGTACTGCTAATAGACGCTAATCAAATATTGGTCAATTTAATTTCATAATTAAATTGTTTTTGGATTTTCAAGGTCCGTATTTTGTAATAATTTGATTTTTTTCTCCCCCAACTTTGGGAATTTTGTGTTACCAGGGGTACCAATTTGTGCATAAAATGATTAAAATTTATTTCGTCATTTGTTTGGCGGTTGTTTCCAGATTTTGCAAGCATTGAGTGGTGGGGATGAGGCACCACGTGGTTGCATAAAAAGAACGCTTCGACTCTTTAACTTGCCTCATTCTTTATTTTAATCAAGTGTTAAGACAATCCAAAGAAGGTGAGTGACTACATTTTCAAATTTTCAAAATAAACATTGATTACCGGGTACATTGTTGACATTTGATTGGTTTATTCGCGAGGGGTGTACAAAACGGGGAAGTGGAAGGGTACGTTCACTAATTGAATTTAATTAGTGCCAAAAAGGTGTTAATTGCGATCACTTACTAGATTTTCTCGTGTTTTCCATAAATTGCGTAAATTAATAAGAGATTATCTCGAAAATGATGAAATGTGATAAATCGTTTCATAATTATTGAGCCAAACTGGGGGTTATCACTTAGGTCGAGTCACTTAATTCATATTTTTGTCAGTGTGAAACAATATATTGCATTTTAATTAATTTTCCTCCGTTGTACTTTTTTACGCTGAGTGTGTGATTCCCCGGATTAGATTTCGCAACATAAAACATGTATTATGTTTCATGTGAAAAAGCAAATTTTGATGTTTAGACTTACCCACAGTATCGAATTTGCGTCGTTTTGGTGTGGTCACAGCGTCACTAAGTTCCATATCACTATCGTCATTGCTTATTTCTTCTGTTTCTACTTTTATTAAGGAGGAAACCATATCTTGCCCATTTTCGCTATCACTGCTTATTTCTTCTCTTTTCACTGTAATTACAAAATAAACATTGTTAATCCCTTGAATGAAAATGCCCTGTGCTACCTTCATTATAAATAACTATTTTTGTCTATTTTGATTTTTAAGCTATTTACTAAAACATAATTTTTTTATCAAGTATGTTGTCCACTGAGTTTCATTTTTGTTATTAATTGTGTCAGAGACTACTAAGACTAGTGCACGGGTCAGAAAAATGATTGTTGATTTGATTCAATAGTAGATTATACAGTGCGATCAAAAAGTCTTTCTATCAAGTAGGCGTCCTAGTTGACGACGTATGTCCGTATGTTATCTAGATGTCAAAAAATTATTTTATAAAAATTAAAACATTGAGCTAATTAAATTGAATTATTCTATGAAACGTCTCAAAACAAACTAAAATAAGATTTTGTTGGTGTTTATTCATAAAAATCGTTCACCACGGTTTCTTGTCATAATTTACATAAAAAATATTTTGACATTTCTCATTTGTCATTGTGACACTTCCATCTTCCACAGACATACGTTTTAAATTTCTACGCTTGCTTGATAGAGACTTTTTGATCGCACTGTATCATCAAGAGTCGACACCAGTAACTGGGTCAAGCGCAAAAAAAAAATGATATCCCTTTTTGATTTTTACCTGCTGAGTTATTGCATTGTTATTTTTTTAATTAATCAATAATAATTAATTACCGTTGAGTTTATTGAATTCAATTTTTTTTTTCAAAAATTATTTTAGCAGATTTTGATATTCTTACTTACCCACAATATCGGAATTGCGTCGTTTTAGTGTCACAGCTTTACTAATTTCCATATCGTTGTCATTGTTTATTCCCTCTGCTTCCACTTTTATTAAGGAGGAAATCACATCTTGCCCATCTTCGCTTATTTCTTCTCCTTTCACTGTAACTACAGAAAAAAAACACATTTTATGTCTATTTTGCTTTTTTCTAAAACATACAGAGTGATATTTAAAAAACGACAGGCGCTATAGAATTTTTATTTATGGTCCGATTTTAAAAATTCAAAAAATTAATTAAATGGCTTTATTATATCTTACTAAAACGTGATAGCTTGAACGCTCTCACACCTGTGTAAACGCTAATTTAACCATCTTTGTCGCGCGATAACAATTGTTTTTTCCTGAAGTTTGTCGAAAAGTTTCGAAGCATTAAAAGTAGAAAACAGCAAAAGGTGAAGATTGCATTTTTTTGGAATCCACTGAGAAAAAAAATGACGAAATAGTCCGTTACCTAATATTAATTTTTCGTGACTAATTGGAAAAATTAATTGAAATTCATTATTTTTGCGTCTTTTTCAAAGCAAAACATTTTTTTATGGATAATCGATGAGGTTTTTGCAAAATCTTTAATTTGATTGGTTGGACACATTTGTTAATTTATAACAAGGGCCAATAATAATCATTTCCCATTCCCGTAATTACCACTATCGTGAGAACACACCGGTTTTTATTTCTTATTGGCCAAAATCCGACAAAAACCTACTAACGATAAGTAACTCCACCCATTTAAAAAACTGTGAATAATTATTGAATTCTGAATCGAATTTTTATAACAAATCAGCGTTTAGTGTGAATTATCTTACTTTAATTGGATCTAATTTTGCACAATGGGTGAAGCCAACCAGAGCCAATATGAATAATGCACTTTAGATTATTAGACCAATAAAAAGTAAAAAAAAATGTTTTATAAATCGGCTTCTTTGGTTTTATTGTCTACATAAAAATAGTTATTTGAAGAATAAACCTTAATTAACTTTCTTTACTGTCAAATGTCCGAACTCTCAAAATTTGACATTTTTGGAAGATTTACATAACACTGTGTATTTACTACATTTAGTGTGTACTAAAATTTGTATTTAGCTCAATTTTTGATTCAATAACGCCGATTCGAGTCGTTTTAGCGGTTTTAGCCTTAATTCGACAAATCTTTCAAATAAAAATATTTCAAAAATTCATAATTCCACAGATTAATTCTTTCTATAAAATTAGTGCTAAACTTAGCACAAAAATTCAAAATGGTTCAAAAAAAGAATTTTCAAACAAAAGATCATTTTTTTGTTTTTTTTTTCCCCAGCGATGGCTCACTTAGAATGAATTACAGAAACATAAAAAATTTCAAGAAAATCGGTGAACGATTAATGAAGTTAGAATTTTTTTAAATAAATCTGCAGATGATAAATTCAATCTCGGACATGTTATTTATATTCTTTTGTTTCAAATTTATATTCAGGCATCATTCAATATAGTAAAACTTTTTCATAATTTGAAAGATATTAGTTTTCTTGTTATTTTTTAAAAAAATTATCAAAGTTGAAAAAATTTAATAAAATCTAGTTGCATGGTGTCAATAAAAAAATTGACGTTAAAAGAATCTTATTAAAAGTAAACAAAATAAACAAATACTCGTAATAAATAGTATATCATGTAAATGTGTATCATGTCTGAAGTGGCGTTTAAAGCACTGGTTACATAATATACTATTATTAGCTGTCTAGATTTTATTATTTAATGAGTGGTCGATGTAACCTTCTGCAACAGTAGTTGAGCGCCATCCTCCATGGCGTTTTAAAGCTGTAATGTTCGCATCTGAGTCTGCCAATTTCGCCGATGACCTTAAATAATGGCCCGTGTAACAGGCAGGGTCAGGCAACTTTAAATATTTTGCTACTACGCTAGCGAGACTACCAAATTTATTTATTCCAATGGGCTGATTTATACATTTTCCTCGCTGGTAGTTTAGGAAAAATCGGTTAGTTGTCAGATTTGAAGGTCGAATTTTCATGTATTTCTTACAGATGTGGTAGAAAGAACCTCCGATTTCGAACTGTCGTTCTGTTTTTGTTTTTGTATCAGGAATGTGGACTAAAAGGGAAGTGTTGAGGTCTTCGATATGATTTATTTCAATTTTCATTAATTCCTCTCTTCGACAAGCTCCCATTATGCTAAAAATTAAGCCAACCTAAAATATTTGTACTTAATTTTAATATTCTAATTTAATTTGGTACTATAATTTACTTTTGTAAATAGGTAGTCTTTATCGGGAGCAGACGATAAGAATTCTTTAATTTGCTGGGGTGTCAAAGTTTTCGATTTTTTAGGTTTGTAACCATCAGATTTACGTTTCAGGAACGCACCCAACTTGAAATATTTGCTTATGTCAACATTATTTTTTAGGTTAAGCGTCGTTCGTAACATTGAGTACGCTGCCCACAAAGAAGACGGTTTATTCCTTTTCGAGAGCTCTTGAAAATAAGCAAGTAACACATTTTCAGATAAAGAATTTCTTTGATTTTTTTCACGCCAATCTTGGAAAAGTTTATATGCGCGTTCGTATTGAGCCTTTGATTTTTCCGGCAGCGAAGTAGCAGTTGCTGAGGTCGCAACAAAAACATCATCTTCACTTTCAGTTTCACTCATTTTTCACAGAACGTTCCACAAAAACTGAAACCGCGTATAAATAACAACTGAGAGAGGCTAACTTTAGCCCGTACCTAATGACAGTTGCTACGCATTAGTCACGACTTGTCAAGATCAGTGTTGCCAGATCAAAAACATAAAATTCACCAAATCCGGGTTCAGATCGTTATCTGTATAGCAAATTCTCGCGAAAAAAACGCAATTTTCGGCTTAAAAATCTGCTAAAACTCTTTTCGGCTCAATTCTGTGATTTTTCGGCTTGTTTTCAACAAAATTTTGCAGTAAATAATTACGTTTCTATGTAGTTCAAAAACGTGTTAAAACGTTTGAAAAATACAAAAATTATGTAATTCTAGAATTAATTTCTTGATTATGTAGTTTGTTTTAGCGAAATCTAGCGAAAAACCTGAGATTTTAGTACAAAAACGTGCTTAAAAGCATTTTCGGCCAAATTTTGTGGTTTCTTAGCTTATTTTTGCTCAAAACTAGTTAAATCGAGTGAAACAAACAAGATAACATCAATATCAATCCTGGTTGAGATATTTAGGCGTGTTTCGAGAAGATTTTGCAAAATAAATGAACCTTTGGTTCAGAAAGGAAGCATAGCAAACAAGCTAAAAAATGATATCAATTTCGATTTAATTTTGTAATTTTTTAGCCTGTTTCAATGCAATATTTTGAACTTTTTGCGTTTTTATCTCTCAAAAACATCCTTAAACACTCGAGAAAGACAAAAAACGCCGTTTTGGGCTATTTTGTTGAATTTGTGGTTTGTTTTTGGCAAAATTTTGCGTTTCTAGCTGAAACAGCATTCGAAAAAACTAAAATAAGTTGTCATTTTCGACTGTATAGTGATATCTTGTAAAAAACATAAAGAAGTATTTTTACCCAATTTGGTGGTTTTCGATTATTTTTTCTTCGAGAAAATTTGACAAAATAATCAATTTGAAGCCTCAGAGTTAGTTAAAAAAACCATAATATAATCTTTTTTATAACAATTTAGTGATTTTTGACTCGCTATGGCAAACTTGCGAAAAAACAGTTTTCAGCTTAAAAATCTGCTTGAACGCCCGAAAAAGGAAAATAATTATATCATTTTCGGCCTAATTCGCTGTGCTTTTTTGGCTTGTTTTTAACCAATTTTTCGAAATAATTGTCTTTCTAGCTAAAAAAAAAAGCATGCTAAAAATGCATGATATTTGATATTTTTGATTTTTTTGTTCGTTTTAGCAAAATCTCGCAAAAAACCTGAGAGTTGTAGTACAAAAACGTGCTTAAAAACATTCTCGGCTTATTTTGCTCACAAAACAGTTAAATCGAGTGAAACAAACAAAATAACATCAATATCAATTGTTTTTGTGATTTTTAAACGTGTTTCAATGACATTTTGCAAAATAAATGATCCTCTGGTTCAAAAACAAAGAAAGTGGAGCGAAACAAGCTCAATTTCGATTTAATTTTGTAATTTTTTTGCCTGCTTCAACGAAATTTTTAGAATTTTCTTTGTATTTATCTCAAAAACGTGCTTAAACACTTGAAAGGGCCAAAATAACACTGTTTTTGGACGAATTTGTTGAATTTTTGAATTGTTTTTAACGAAATTGCGTTTCTAGTTGAAAAAGTATTCGAAAAAGACAAAAATAAATTGTCATTTTCAATCCTGTCTAATAAATTCTTGTAAAAAAACAACCAGAACTATTTTTTACCAATTTGGTGATTTTTCGACTTTTTTAAAAAAACTTGACGAAATAATCAGGTTTTTGGTTCAAAACGAGGAAAATGCTCGAAAAACAGTTTTTTTTCATTTCTAAAAATTCACCAGATTAGAATTTTCACAAAAATTTTCACCAAATCACTAGGCTAACATGAAAATCACCAGATCTGGTGAAATTTCACCACACCTGGCAACACTGGTCAAGATGTATATAAAAGGTCACTTAGCGTCATGGAAACATACGATAATCCGTGTTTTAGATATGGGAGTAGAAAAAAAACTATTACACTAAATTAGATGTTTGTCTGATTTGTTATGGGTAATTATTATTGTCATTTCTTATTAAAAATTTGAAAAAATATTGGTACATCGATAAAAAAACAATAAATTAGAGTAGGCGGTGATTAAAGTCCTTCAGATGGCAATCCTGATTTTTGACATCAAATGTCAGCGGATACTTTGACAAGTTTAAGTTTTATTCCTTTTGAGTAAAATAATGTTCACTTTAGAGCAGAAATTTTTTATTTCTGTACAAGGGGAAAACGATCGATGGTCATTTTCACTTTCAGTTTGTGTGGAAAATTTCCGACCCAGATTCCCAGCCAATGTGTTGCCAACTGTAGAATTTAATCGACGCCTACTCTAATTTATTTTTTATTTGATCGCACGGTACTTTTTTTATTTGTTGCTTCTTCACACTAATGGCATTGTCTTATTTGGCATCATGCAACTAGATTTGATTAATTTTTGTTATTT